TGAGAGAGAGAGACAGCATAAGCGGGGGAGGGTCAGAGAGAGAGAGAGAGACAGAATCTGAAGCTGGCTCAAGGCTCTGAGCTGGCTGTCAGCACAGAGCCTGACGCGGGGCTTGAACCCACAAACCGTGAGATCATGACCTGAGCCGAAGTCGGACGCTTAACCAACTGAGCCACCCAGCACCCCAACTAGCTTATTTTTTTAATGTTTATTCTTGACAGAGAGAAATACAGAGGGCAAGTGGGAGAGGGGCAGAAAAAGAGGAAGACACAGAATCCGAAGCAGACTCCAGGCTCTAAGCTGTTAGCACAGAGCCTGATGGGGGGCTTGAACCCATGAACATGAGATCATGACCTGAGCTGAAGTCGAATACTCAACTGACTGAGCCACGCAGGCACTTGAGCCACCTTTTGCTAGCTTTAAAAAAAAATTAATGTTTTATTTATTTTTGAGAGAGTGCAAGCAGAGGAGGGGCAAAGAGAGAGGGAGACAGAGGATCCAAAGTGAGCTCCATGCTGACAGCAGCAGGCCTGATGTGGGATTCAGACTCAACGAACCATGAAATCATGACCTGAGCTGAAGTTGGGCTCAACTGACTGAGTGACTCAGGTGCTTCACCTTTTGCTAGCTTTTGAGAAATATTTTACATAATCTCACTAAACGTGTGTGAGTGTGTGTGTGTGTGTGTATGTATTCATATATAAAATCTTCATTCCTTAGAAACAAAGTTTTCTGACATTCAGAAAAGTCACTTGATTTGATCTTAGTCACATGATATAGCTAATCACGTTTATAATGTATTTTCATATATGTGCTACTTATTTATGGAACGACCATGGCCCCCTTTAAATGCATGACAACAGTATCCTGTGGGAACAGATGCAAAATTTCATGCTGTTTCAATCAGGAGAGGCAAAAAAAAAAAATGTAGAAGCTAGGGGCAACTGGGTAGCTGGGTCAGTTAAGCGTCTGAATTCTGCTCAGGTCATGATCTCACAGTTCATGAGTTCGAGCCCTGTATTGGGCTCTGTGCTAACAGCTCAGAGCCTGGAGCCTGCTTCAGATTCTGTCTCTCCCTCTCTCTCTGTCTGCCCCTCCCTTGCACGCACTCTGTCCCTCTCTCAAAAAAAATGAACATTAAAATAAAATTTAAAGAAAGTACAAATTAGAAAAAGTGATTTGGGATAACTATAAGCTATTACCCAAGATTTTCTGGATGTTCTCAAATTTATACGTCCAGTAGTAAAATCCAAATGTTTCTGAGTCCCCATCCAACATAGTTAGGAAAGCAAATATGTTACCTATCCAATACTTGCAATATATGTTATAAACTTTGAATATACACTAAGAACTTTCTTAATTTTCTTTCTCTCCTATTTTTTCAGCTTCCCTCTTACAACTTATTCTTGGTTTTATGTGTCTAAATATTCTCACCTTTTCCATCTTAAAGAGTAAAAGCTCTTGAACAGACACTTCATAAAAAAATACACAAATATGCACGTATAGGAGGACTAGGAGGAACTTAACAGAGGACCAATCGGGAGAAGAAGAGGGGAAATGGTGGGGGAAAGGGAGAGAGGCAAACCATGAGAGACTCTTGAATGCTGACAAAAACTGAGGACTGATGGATGTGGGGGGTGGGGGGGATGGGCATGGAGGAGGGCACTTGTTGGGATGAGCACTGGGTGTTATGTGGAAACTAATTTGACAATAAACTATTTGTAAAAAAAAAAAATACACAAATAACCAGAAACCCATGAAAAATGCTTGAATGTATTAATCATTATGGAATTGAATATTAAAGCCTCAGATAAAAGCCCACTCTAGAATTAGTAAAATTTAAAGACTAAAAAATATCAACTTCTAGAAAGAATGTGGAAAAACTGAAACTTTCAGAAACCACTAGTAGGAAATTAGAATGATACAACCACTTCGACAAACAGTTTAACATTTTCTTATGAAGTCGAATATATACCTCTCTATGACCCAGTAGACCTAGAAAGGTGAAAAAAATACTCACATGAAAAGACTTGTTCAAAAATCATAAAATGTTTTTCTGCAAACAAATGGGTAGGTGATGTATACTGTATCGGTATAATGGAATACTACTCAGTGACAAAAAGCAATAAGCTGATGATGCACAACACAACCAGATGAATCTCCAGAATATCATTTTGAAGAAAAGAAGCCAAGCCAAAAGGAAAACATACTGTATGCTTCTTTTCTATAGTATTCTAGAGCAAGCAAAACAAAGCAAGCTATGGTGACAGAAATTAGAATACCGATTTTCTTGGAGGATTGATATGAAGGGGACACAAGAGAATTTTCTGAGGTGATAGAAATATTCTATACCTTGAGTGAGGTGATGGTTAGTTGGTTTCAAAATAGTTTCTAAATAGTTTTCAAAACTATTTAAGCTTCACACTGAAAATTTTGTATATTTTCTGGTGTATATATTATAACTCAAAAACTGGCAAATAAAATACTGTTTGATTCCATGTAGGCCATCTGATAAAACCCATCTCTTCAATAGCCAAACTTCTAGAATAAGTTCTTTCCATTTGTGTTCTCTACTTCCTTACCTTCTGCTAAGCTTTCAACTCAATCATCGACTAGAGTGAAGTCCCCAACCCATATGCTATTCTTCCCATAAGGTCCCCTACCCATATGTTATTCCTCCTATACAAAATTCTCTTTCCCTGGATTTGGCCTGCCTAATGCCTACTCATTCTTTAGGTGTCAGCCTAAATATCACCATCTCCTAACTCTCTAGACCATGTTGAATGCTGTAGTTATATTTTCCCATAATATTATCTACTTTCATAATATAGCATTTAATCATCTTTTTGTATAATTACTTGCTTAAATTATCTCTCTTTACACTGCAACAGATGCTCTGGGCAGAGATGTTTATTTTGTCCACTTCTGCAAAATGGTTAGTGCATGATATCTGCAAAACTTTGTTAAATAAATAAATAAACAAACAAATAAATAAATAAATAAATGAACGAACGAACGAACTAACCATCCACTTACATTTCACGTACATGTTCTATCACTCCTCCCTTGATTTCTTGCAAATTCTTTTTCCATAACTCTAGTTTAAGCCCTCTGGATCTCTTCCCTAGGCCTTTGTGATAAATTCTTAACCAATCTCTCTGCTTTGGTCTTTTGTCTTTCTAATCCAGCATTCACATTGCTGTGAGAAACATCCTGCTAAAACTGCCCATTAAAGCAAGTAATTTTCTCTTTCATCAAACTCTTTCATTATTAAATAAATTAACAACTTCTGATATTATTTCTTCAGGATCAGTCCCTCCTTTTCCATGTGAACTTCTCTTGAACATCTTTTTCTATCCATTTCTGCGTTCTCTTCACCTTTTGCCAACCTCTTACCTGGTCTCTGCTTCCATTGCATTTCCATTCCATCTTCCACAGACTTGTCAGCATTATCTCCTCTTTAAAAAAATGTGATCATTCTTCTTCTCAGTTTAAACATTTTATTGGATTGCTGCTGTCTACAGAATAACATTTGTCATTTCTTACCTGGGAGCACGATGCCCTCAGCAATGAAGTTCTCAAAAAAGTTATACATGGAGCATCTGGGTGGTTCAGTTAGTTAAGCATCTGACTCTTGATTTGGCTCAGCTCATGGTCTCATCGTCATGAGATTGAGCCCCATGTCAGGCTCCGCACTGAACATGGGGCCTGCTTGGGATTCTCTCTCTCCTCCTTCTGCTTCTCCCCTTGTTGGCTTTCTCTCAAAACAAACAAATATAACCAAAATAAAACACAAAAACATGTGCACTTATGGTTTCTTATTTTACTAAAAAGTCCATTTCTCCATTCTTCACCCTGAAATACTCAGTGAAATATCACACCATTAGTGGTCTCAGCTAAGCCCCCAGAAATGGCTGATTTTCCTACTTGCTGTCTGTGCTACCCCCATGGCTTAGTTAATGTTTCTGCAGTAATGCTTCCTGATGTATAATGATTTTTCTATTTTCATGTTTGTTTTCCCTTACTAAGATTCTGAATCCTTGAGGATAACAACAGTGTATTATTTTATTTTTATTCCCTGCACTCAGCACAGTGTTGGGGTGGAGAGGTGATCAACAAATATCTCTTAAATTAGTGCACTAATGAATGATGATTCCATACCATTTCTGAATGCCCTTGGCCTTTTCACATGCTCTTTTGCTTTTACGGTTTGCTCAACCTAGACTGCCCTCCTTCCAGTTCTGTGATTAGAGAAAACTTACACCTCTTAAAATTCTGGTTCTTCTGATTCTTTTTATATGACACTCAACTTGCTTTCTTGAATAAGAATTAATTATGCCTCCTGTATGTTCCTTTGGTGGCTGTTGCTTATTTATCTATTATTTAACTTCATAAACATAATGTTGTGAACTGCCTACATGACATGTGCTATGTATGCTGTGGAGCTTACATTAGAGAATGTGACCTGGTGGCTACCGTTGAGAAGTTCACTAATGGAGAGAAATATTTGTTAAAATATAGATAAAATTTAGTCTGTTAAATGCTATAATCAAGGTGAGAATAAAATGCTATAAGCTCAGAGAGCTCATAGGAATTAATCTGACATGATTCATAGGCAATGATTCATAGAGTGGTTGAGATTTGAGCTGGTACTTGAAAAAAGCATAGGAGTTTGACAGGCAAATGGGTGGTTGTAAAGATATTCCAGGCAGAAGAAACAGCCTCTGTAAATGCACAGATTCATGAAAAAGAACTTTGGCAACTGATTCACCCTCTTTTAGCCTCTACACTGATCTCCCAAACTCTTTGTCCGTGGATATAACACTCGTGAACTCCAGCTAACAACTTATTAACTGTCAGCAGTAGATTCTAGCCAGCCACCCCAATGACTAAACCTTGGATTTGGTGTCACCTAGAATAGAAAAAACTCTAAAATCCTTAATTCCAATATTCCTTTCTCATTCTTCTAATTCTCCCACTTATTTTATCACACTTGTTTTCTGAACTTGTCATGATCTTATAACTCTTCAATCACAGTATCTCTCTTGAGGGTGTACCATCCTTCTGTTGTTTTCCTTAAGAAAGGTATGTTGACAGAGTGGTTTCAAGATTTAGAAAAAATAATAACCAGGTCACTAATAACAAATATTGTCATAAACATTTGGACGTTGTGAAGTTTTGTTTTGGAACCTTCCTGTTGCCATAGTGAGGTACATCCAATGGTGGCTCCAAATACAGAGCATGATATTTTGTAGTAGTTACTTGAGTAGAATCCTATATCCCTGAAAGGATATTCCTGAAGCCTAATAACTAGTGGAGGGATGAGAAAAAAAAGTTTCAGAGTACAGTTATGACTTCCTTAGGATCGTCTTGAGGGTTGTATACTCAGTCAAGAAGTCTCTGAATTAAGAATGAGTGTATCATATTAGATAAAATCATACCTTATTTAACTAGATAACTTTCAACTCTGAAACACAATGTTACATGTTTAGATATATGTATATAATTTCTTTAATTAGATTTAACTTTTGTGACTGTACATGAGACCTGGAAAACTACTCAAATAATACATTAAAGGTGATACTCCCAGTATTTTAAAAAGTGCTTTATCTTAAACCAGATTGTATTTAAAACATACTGTGTTAAAATGTTCTAAGTATTTGGCAGAGATGACATCTTGGAGTGAGCTAGAATTCAAGCTGAGGCAATTTGGATTCAGAGCCTGGGTTTATAACCAACAGCTTTGAGGGAAAATCCTATACATCAAATCATCCCAGCTGTGCCACTTACCTCCTATGTTACCTTCAATATGTTACCCATCTCTGAGAGTCTCCAGATCCCACATATAGAATGAGGATGATACAGATATTACATCCAAAGGTTGTTACAGATATTAAATGAGATTGTTGTATCTAGTAAATGGGATTAATTGAGCACTAGAAATCACTCAAAGTCACTTCTGCCCTATTTTATTCATTGAGGCAATTTTCTAATCCTATTCTGACTCAACAGCAAGAGGCAATATACTGCCTCTTGATGGGGAGTGAAAAAGTTCTGGAAGAATATGTAGAACTGCAAATATTGCTGTGACCATTTTTGGAAATTACAGTCCACCATATTCATGAAGATTGCCGAGAAATTTAGCTGTAAGAAACATATTCTCCCTGGTTTAGCTAGGGCTGCAGTATAAAGACCATCAGACTAAACGTTTACCTCTGTACTTAATTCTTCACATCATTCAAGGGCAGTCTTTATTTTTTAAAGTTTTTGTTTAAATCCCAGTTAGTAAGTATACAGTATTGTCTTAGTTTCAGGTGTATAGTGATTCAACACTTTCATACATCATCTAGTGCTCATCATAAGTGCACTTCTTAATCCCCAACACCTATTCAGTCTGTCCCCCCACCCTTCTCCCTTCTGGTAACGATCAATTTATTCCCTATAGTTAAGAGTCTATATACCTTGATTTGCCTCTCTCTCTTTTTCCCCCTCTGATCATTTGTTTCTTAAATGCCACATATGAGCAAAAATCATGGTATTTGTGTTTGTCTGATTGACTATGTTGCTTAACATAATGTTCTCTAACTCCATCTATGTTATTGCAAATGGCAAGATATTCCAATATAATGGAATATTATTTATTTCTTCTTTATCTTCTTTGTTCATCTGTCAATGGACACACTTGGGCTGATTCCATAATATGTCTATTGTAGACAATGCTGCAATAAATATCAGGGTGCATTTGAATTAGTATTTTTGTATTTTTTTGGTAGATACCTAGTAGTGTGATTGCTGGATCATAGGGTCATTCTATTTTTAACTTTTTGAGGAACCTCCAATTGGTTTTTCAGAGAAGATGACCAGTTTGCATTCCCACCAACAGTGCAAGAGGTTCCCCTTTCTCTACATCCTTCCCAACACTTGCTGCTTCTTGTATTGTTGATTTTAGCAATTCTGATAAGTATGAAGTGATATCTCATTGTAGTTTTGATTTGCATTTCTCTGATGACGAGTGATGTTGAGCATCTTTTTATGTGTTGGCCATCTGTATGTTGTCTATGGAAGAATGTCTATTCATGTCTTCTGCCCATTTTTAATTAGGTTATTCAATTTTTAGGTGTTGGGTTTTATAAGTTCTTTGTATATTTAGATATTTAACCCTTTGTCAGATATAACATTTGCAAATATCTTTTCCCATTCTGTAGGTTGCCTTTTAGTTTTGTTGATTGTGTCCTTCACTGTGCAGAGGCAGTTTATCTTTGATTTTTACCTGAGGAGATATATCTAGAAAGAAGTTGCTATGGCCTGAAGTCACTGCCTATGTTCTCCTCTATGATTTTTATGGTTTTGTGTATCACATTTAGATCTTTTATCCATTTTGAATTTATGTTTGTGTACAGTATCATTTCAGTCTTGTTGTATTTGTTGAAGTCTTATTTATGACCTGATATGTGATCTGTTCTGGAGAATGTTCCATGTGCACTTGACGAGAATGTGTATTCTGCTGTTTTAATATGGAATGTTTTGCATATATCTGTTAGGTCCATCTGGTCCATTGAGTCATTCAAAGACATTGTTTCTTTGTTGATTTTTCTGTTTAGAAGATCTGTCCATTGATGTAAGTGGGGTGTTAATGCCTCCTAGTATTATTGTTTTATTATCAATTATATTATTCCTTATGTTTGTTATTGTTTTTTATATCTGGGTGCTTCTATGTTAGGTGTATAAATATTTATAATTGTTATATCTTCTTGTTTGATTGTTCCTTTTACTATTATATAGTACCCATCTCGAGTACAATATTTAAATCAAATTTTTATGTCCTTTTCATTTTATTCCTAAGCCAAATAGAACAATTTAGAACTTTTCTTGTCTTTGATATCTTACCTACATATGTAAGAAAAATACACCACTCTTAGTTTTATTTCCTTCTTTATTCAGCTTAGATCACTTGAAGCCTGTTTTTACTTTTTTGGTGATTTAATATCTCCAATCCCTCCCTTATACTTCTTCCATCCAGTATACTCAACCAACCTCCAAATCTAAGCGTTTTTCACCACCTACATTTTAATGTTGTGTTTTCCAGGAAGTTTTCCTCACTGTTTTCTTGTGTCACTGTACATGCTCATTTCACCCATAGTTTAACTATGATTAAATATGCTAGTAAAGTTTATATTTCTATTGCCATGTCTACTTAAAACTCTTTTCCCTTTATCCCCAACTTTCTGTATAATCTTCTCAAGAATGGAGGAGATACCCAAATCTCAACAAAGTGTTCAAACTGAATTCATTCTTCTACTTTACAAACTACTCTTTTCACTTCTCCCCTCACTCTTTTACCCATTTCTTTTAATTCAGAAATCTTGGACTTTCCCTTCTCTAGCCTACCATCTACTTTCTATTACCATGACTAATTGATTCTACACTTTTAACATCTTTAAATATAATGTCCACTGTTATTTCTGATTTTAGGGCCTCATCATTTCTCAGCTGGATGCCTTTATTCACTATAATTCCTCCTCACACTTTGCACCTAACTAATCTCTATAAAATCTAAGCTTTATCATGTCATTCTTCTTTTTAAAATTATAGTCAGTTCTCAGGGCGCCTGGGTGGCTTAGTCGGTTAAGCGTCCGACTTTCGCTTAGGTCATGATCTCTTTGTTCGTGGGTTCGAGCCCCGCGTCTGGCTCTGTGCTGACTGCCAGCTCAGAGCCTGGAGCCTGTTTCAGTCTGTGACTCCCTCTCTCTCTGACCCTCCCCTGCTTACACTGTCTCTCTCTCTCCTAGAAATAAATAAAACATTAAAAAAAATTTTTTTTAAATTATAGTCAGTTCTCATGACCAACTGAATAAAGTCCAAAGCCTTGATTATTTCCAGGAAGACTAATTTTCTAGGTTCTACCTAAACTTGCCAGTGTTATCTGTATATACCTGATGTAAGAAATACCCAATGATTTTATTTTCTTCAAAATGTGCTGATCTGAGACTCCAGAATTTGTTTAGGCAGATGCCTTCTCACCTTTTTCTGATAACCCAAGTCTTTTTGACATTTCAACAAGTACTTCTTCCAGGAAAACTTATCTAATGCTACAAGCTGAGTTCCCTTCTATAGTGGCCCCTACAGAAAACAGTGAAAGTATCTACCAATCAAAACACCATAATGTAATCATATTGTTGGCTTAATGGTTTGCTTAAGTGTAGGAACTGTGTCATTATTCTTATTTCTCCAATGTTATTTGGAGTTTATGTCACATTGTATCAACTTGATGAAATTTTTTTAATGAGTGCATGAACCAATTCTTACCTTAAACATCCTGTATCTCTCCCACTTTAATCGAAGCAAATCACTAATAAACTTTACAACAAAACTTTCTCTCATTGTATGACTTTGTAAATTCTCTTAAAATATTTTTTAAGGAGCACCTGGGTCACAGTGTCTAACTCTTGATTTTGGCTCCAGTCATGATCTCATGGTTCAGGGAATTGAGCCCTGTGTAGGACTCTGTGGTCATATTGCGGAGCCTGCTTGGGATTCACTCTCTCACTCTCTCTCTGCTCCTCCCTGACTCACATATGCACTCTCTCTCTCTCTCTCTCTCTCTCCCACCCAAAATAAATAAACATTAAAAAATATTTAGTGTTTGGGGCGCCTGGGTGGCTCAGTCCGTTAAGCCTCTGACTTTGGCTCAGGTCACGATCTCGCGGCTTGTGAGTTCAAGCCCCATGTCGGGCTCTGTGCTGACAGCTTGGAGCCTGGAACTGCTTCAGATTCTATGTTTCCTTCTCCCTCTGCCCCTCCCCTGCTCGTGCCATCTCTCTCTGACTCTCAAAAATAAATAAAAATTAAAAAAAAATTAGGGTTTGCATCCATATTTATCACCATGATTGTATTGTATGATAATTAACTACAAAAACTCAGTGGCATTACACAGTTAAGTATTTGTTGCTCATGCATATTAGGTTAGTCACATGGGTTTCTCTATTTATCTTACACATTTAGAGATGGCTAGCTGTTGGTTGATCTAGGATGGCCTCAAATATTATTAGTAGGGCCTCTTAGTTTTGCTGTAAGTTTTTCTGGTC